ACTTTTAAAGGAGATGGGTTTAATAGTGGGAAGATAGGTTCAATGCGATACTTATTAATAATTATATAGGCTGATCTGTAAAATTTAGACCAAAATTGATATATGAGTTTTAGTTACACAATTAGTAACTAAGCATTTTTATTGGTTAAACTCATAAATAATTTGTGTCAAATTCATGAACTCATTTCAAAAATATATAGCAATTTTGCTTTAAACTTATGAACTCACCTTAATACTTATGAAATTATTTTAATATATATTTGCAACGAACTTGTTTATAAAATATGTACTGTTTTTATTTATAGTGCCTTTTTTAACTTTTTTTTTAATTTTAGGTTTTTTTTTATTATAAGAATCTGTTATGATACAAAATAATTGTATATTTCTTTTATCTTTGAATACTTCTCCAAATATCTCTTCAATTATTCCTCCAATTTTGCCTACTTATTCATTTACAAATATAAATAAATATAAATGTAATGTATATCAGAAAAAATTTAAAAATAAAGCAGAATTAACACATCATAATATTGCAATTGAAAAATATAATGTTTTTCAGACAGAATTACCAACTATACTAACAAATTTTACAGAATTATTTAAAGGTGATTTGGTTTATTTTATCCATCATTGATTACTTAATGATTTTAAAAATGCTAAAAAGAAAACTATTTCTATGACGTGTAATAAAAGTTAATTTTATACAATTTTTAAAAATCATATACATTTTTACTTAAGAAAAGCTGGTAATTATAGGTATTAGTTTCATGAAAAAGAAGAAGAACAAAAATTAACACAAATATTTGGGAAAATAAATTGGAGAATAAAATATTATAATCAAAATCAGAGAACTTTTATAATTTTAACAGATAATCAATCTTTATCACAACAAACGTTATTATATGTATTAGACCAAAAGTCTGAAATTAATCCTTTAGCAGTAGCTATTACTAAAAAAACTTAGTGCATTTCTTCTAATAAATGTAAATATAGAGAAATAGTTGTAAAAGTAAAGAATAAACATTATAAAGATGCTAATAGTAATAATGCTGGTTTATTTATTTCCATTTTTATACAAAATAAGTACACATTTATAATTTTAATTAATAAAATTAATAAAAAACAAAAAAAATTTATTTGATATTTTTTTTTTAAAACTTTTATTATTTAAATTAAATATTAACTTGAACTCAAAACTTTTCTATTTTAGAATAAGTTTGAGAAAAATTATGTGTAATATAATAAAGTTTTCAATTTTTAAATTCAAAAAATTGAATAATTACTAATTTTTGATTTATATCTCTATCTTTCAAAGTTTTGCAAAACAATTCAGAAATTTATTGATGATTTTTTTTTAACTGCAGCATATGAAAAAGATTTCAACCTCTATTTTTTATGTTTATCTATTAATTTATGAATATAATATATAAAGAACATGAATATATAGTGTAAGATCATTAGGTCGATATAATTCTTAAATGAAATTATTATTATTTGGTATTTCAGTAAATAGTATAAAAAAATAATTTAGGATTGGTATTTGAATTATGCATCATTATATATAAATTGTAAAATTCATCCCATAATTTTCTAATTATTTGTACATATAATAGTGATAATATTTTACTAAGATCAAAAAATTGAAGTACCTTTAATTTATTTTCACTATTAATGATGTATGATTTCAAATTCATGACTCTTTTTTTTGCCAAAATTGAAATTGTACTTAATTTTATTCATCTTTTTAATTATAATTTCTCTTGCAATATTATTAAAATAATCTGTTTCTTTAATTTTATATAAAACTAGATTCCAAAGTTGATTGGTTATATGATATAAGGTTGCTAGATAAAATTCAGAATTTAGACAAATGTCTAAATAGTAAAAGTAAAATTGATTAAATTATATTAAAACCTTATTAAAAAATCTGAGAAATTTAAAAAAGGTAAAACTATATTAAAGCTTATAAAAATAGCGAAACTATATCAAATACTTAGTAAAAATTTAGTGAAACTAAAGGTTTAAATGTTTAGCCAAATCCAAAATGTGTTTAGACAAGCAACCTTAAGTTATACGTAATATAATATGAAGCTCATCTGAAATCTAATAATTTAATGGAATTATATCAAATAATAATGGTAAATTATGCCCATTATATGCATTACAATTTTGATTTAATTGATTCATTTGCTTTGATATTAACCATTCTTGATTAATATCTGCAACTTATTTTTTAGAAATTGTATACCATATACAAAAATAAAGACTATTTGCTACATTAAATTCCAAACAAATAGCGAGAAATTTTCAGTCTAAACTAAAATATAAATTAAAACTCCAATTAATGTTGTCAATTATTAATCCTTTTTCTGTTAATTCACACAACTCATTTCAAAAAGAAATCATTATAATATCCAAAAATTTGTAATCTTCTGATCCAAGATACAATATAGTTATATGATGATGATTAGAGTTATGTATATTATTAATGGCATCTAAAATTGCAAAAGTAACTATAACGTATTTTACTTTCTACTTACATTTCTACCATCTCCAGAAATTCGTAAATTAATAATTAGTTGTTGAGGATTAAGAATATGCTTTTTTATTAAATCTGACACTATATATTTTAATATATCTTTTATACTTCTTTGACCACCTTTACCAATTGAATTAACTATTTCATCAACTATTTTTGGATCGGTAATATCAGGATTATCAGTTAAGTTTATTGTGTTATCAATACAATGACATTTTGACTGTTTTAATTTTAACTCCATATTTCATTTCTTTATTAATTTGTATCCATTGATTAGAAATTTCCCATTCATGTGGTAGCTTATCTTCAATAGCTGATAAATTTCTATACTTATTTTGTGAAATTTGTTCTTAAACAATTGTTTTTATTATTGCTTCATATTTTTGTTTTTTAGTTACTTAACTAGCAAAGCAATAGACTGATCTTATTTTTATTGATTCTGTTTTTGATCCTACATTTTATTTGTCTTATTAAATGATAATAAAGTAAGCTCAATAACTTCTTATAACATATTATATAAGCTTAGCAGGTTGGAACAGCTTATTCGATCTAGAACTTCAGTGGAAAGGCTTAGGTTTTCTAGAATAGAGGCAAAATATGAAAATAATAAATCCTGTATGCGATGCAAATTCAGAGCTTTCACAGTACTGCCTAACAACTGCCGAGAAAAAGCTTGAGTAGTATTTTTCTGAAAACCATCTCTAACCTTAATCTGTTCTACAAGTATCAGTTTTTCTGCTAATGTGATCAGCGTTGTTATGTCCGATTTGCAACTCAAATAAAATTCACAAAGATTAATAATGCTAAGACTAAACTCAGGGAATCACAATAAAGATTCGTAGTAAACGTCAAAGATTATTCTCAATTACACACAAGTAACTTCTGGATATTTCAGAGATTACGTTTCAGTGACTACACCTTAAGTCAATACAACGAATCAATACAATACCATGCAAAGTTAATAAACAATAATAATATATACACAGGTAAAAGGGGTTGCGAAGGATAAGTTTTAACTTGGTTAATTATACTCTTTATTAATAATATAATAAATTGTAAGTTTTCTACCTCGTAAGATATCGAGACTTAATAAAAATACAGTGATATTTATACATGTTGATAATTATAAAATGAACTAAACTAAATAAATCTATGAAAAATAAATGACATCGTCAAGGAAATACAGTTGATAAAATTGATCAGCAAAGATTATCATGTCAATAAAGTTGCCCGTTACACTAAAAATAAAATTGACATCTGGATCTACAATGTTTTACATTGATTATCTCAGGACATAAAGTTGACATCAAGATCGATGATATGATAAACAAGGACATTTAATTGACATTGGATTTGTAATCAGATTTTAGCCAAAATTTTACACTGTTACAGTGTTTAGTTGCACACCAATCTACTATGCAGGCTAGTTAGATCTCCCTCTTTAGAAAAGAAAATTTTGTATAGAAAAAGATGGCTGATGCAACTGAAAGTACTGCATCTCCAAGAAATTCTAAACGCTCATTATTCCAATGTCTTTATCCATATATTCATATGAGCTATGTCAAGGCAATTTGTCATTATGAAATTTGTAAGTCTCCATGTTCTGAAAAATGAATATACTTATAATGGCTAGTTATTTTTTAATATGATTAATTGCCCTTGCAAGCTTAGCCTTATAAAGCTTTACATATTTTTTGGATTGGGTAACGCCAAGCATTCTAGCCTAGAAGTTGAAACCGGTTTTATTTTCACAAAATGGTTTAAATACTTTTTAAATTTGAGACCCAAATTTAAACTTAATTTTAAAATAAAACTGATTCAACCGGGTATTCGGTTGTAATAAAATCAAATACAAAAACTTTGAAGAAAATATTTGTTAAAGTTACACAATAAAATAAAAATTTGAAGGAATGATTTCATAAGGATATAACAAAAAAAAGGATAATTTTACAAATTTGCATGAAATAAATGGAAAAAAAAGTCGCAAAATTGGATAAATAATTAATTTCTTTTATAATCTAAAAAATTTTTTTAAAAAAAAAATAATTTAAACCTTACTGTAACATTATTATTGAAATTATATAATAATGTTGTATAATTATCAAATGTTAACAAAACTTAAATATCATTATTTTAATGCATAAACTGATTCAATCAGTTTCATTAAATTCAAATTTTCGCAATAAACTGATTTTATTAAAACTGGTTTTTGAATCTGAAAAAAAATTAGACCCAATTTTATGTTGTAACCGGTTTAAACTGAATTTAAATTGATTTATACCAAACTGATTCCAACCTCTATTCTAGCTTCTTGTCTTAGTTTTTCGATAGTTACTTCATCAAGCATATGACTCTTCATACTACCAGTTTTTCTTGTTTTAGGTTTATTTTGTGAGTGGAGCGAGGAGGTTTTTTAGAAGCTTTTGTAGTAGAATATTTAGAAGATAATAGCTTTTTGGCTTTATACTAGGCCTTTTTGCCGTCTGATGGCTCCACCTATAGTACCAGTAATACCACAAACAGTTTTTTTTCCCTCAGATTCATGCATGTTCTTATGAATAGGATTTATATTTGAAAAAAAAGAAATTCCAATTTTAACTATCACCTAAACTACCATCTAGACTTAATTGAAATAGATATCATCTTCAAACAATAATTCTTCTAAATATTCTTTCTCTATTTCTTTAGCAGGTGGAATGCTATTTATTGCTATACTTTTACCCTTACTAGATTATGTTTACCATCAGTCTTACTTAGGACGGGAGACCTAATTACAGTAGTAGATTCTAATGCAACTGACTTTACTGCATTCGAGCCCTGATGTGTAATTGGAGATCTTATACTTGAAGGGCTTTTCATTACAGACAAAGTAACTGTTTTTTGCTCATATGTAGCTAGGTCGATATCATCACCACTAAAATATCCATCATCTACTGTCTTCTCAATAGATTCCTAAATCAGGCTCTAATGGAGTAGAAGTATTATCTATAGTCTCATTTTTTTTCCAAGCCTTGAATTTGGCATTAATCTCTTTCTATTCATCAGACTTTGAGCCTAATGTCCTCAAAGTTTTCTAGCCAAAGCTCGGTAAAAGGTATTTTCATCTGCTCTATCAATTTTGACAAGTTTGGGACTCTGCTCTACCTTGCTTATATTATCCGGAGTGCCATAGATGAACGTCTCCTATGATTTGCTGAAAGTACAAGTAGCCACTCCTGATTTTACTCTTACTACTCGTAACTGTACTTGAAGGTTTCTTAGCAACTGGTTTTTTGGCAACAGAAGTAGGAGTATTTACTATAATAATTCGCATTGCCTTCTTCTGAGTCTGGGCTACCTCTGACAAGCTGAATGCCCTATCCAAGGTATCTAGTCTCGCAAAAATAAAATCAATCATTATTTTTATCTTCACGTTATATTCTGGATCTGGAGTCCTTACAACCCAGGGACAATGATTTTATGCGGCAATAAATCATGAATTATGTATGCAACAAAAGCCAAATATGCATTTTAAAGTGT